TGTCTATTCATTTCCTAGTCCCTATTCAACTAAATCGAGACTGGATTTAGAGTTGGATTTGGCTTTCCTACTCTAAAATCCAAACACGTTATTTAACAACATTTAAATGTTTCTATGTTATATCAAGAAGCCAATTGCTATAATACAAAATAAATGAAGAATAAGAGGACTATCTTTGTTTTTTCTTGGCTTTTTCTTTCACACCCTCTCATAATCGTTGTTCGTCAAGGTTTGTCAAGGTTCATCAAGGTACCTTTCCCGGTACACATACATAAACAAGGGAACATTTCTCTGATGACACTTATGTTTGAGTCCCATACAGCCAACAAGACCCAGCCTGACAGCAATCCCTGCATGCTCCGAAAAAGGAATTGGACTACACCTCCCCGACTACACTGGATTCAACTCACTCCGTTTCGACTGACACTCCAACCAGAACCTCGAGTAACGACTTCAATCAAGTTGAGGATTTCAACCTAGATCTTCAATCAAGCAAATTCCATCTAACATGGACTGGAGATAACCCATTAGAGACTTTCCCTGTACTAGCATTTTTTTTCCACAGGACCCCATAGGGTCCCATTTCAACAGGAAGTAACCTAAAAGATGCTACGCCCCCGTTCCCCATTATTGTGTATTAGGGTAATGTAAGTCTAGTTAAGAATGACCTTCTTACTGTTTAGAGTTGGGATTGGAAGAAGGTGTTCAAGTTAGACACTTTTTCCACATGACTTTAAGACTTAGCTAGAATAGACATAGGATGTACCATAGCAGATTATTGTATCTTCTTGTATTTCACCCTTATGATTGTTAGTTTTGGATATTTTACACTATTAAGTTTTAATCCTCTTTTAGACTAAAAGGGGAATTGTAGGGAGACACCCTAGCCCCGCCCAATAGTCCTGGGACAGGTACCAGGTGGACCCGGGACTCGCCCATAAGGGTGTGGTGAAGGAAAGCCGGGGTGAAGTAAGAGAGCTTCTTAAGGGGCTGCACGTGGGGACCCTGACCCCTTTTGTTCTGGCCGCGCTGGCTGGGTTCTATAACCTAGCTCTGGCCTGTGTTTTACCTTGGTGTCTTCCGGAATAAAGAGACCTTAATCCTACAGGCAACCACCACACAGGAAAAAACAGCTGCTCAGGGGCAGTTGGGAACTACTTATCAACACCGGACTTGACCAATCCGAAAGCTTGTACCGTCATCTCCCGCCCTCTGTCCTTCTCCCTGCTTCCCCTCAGAGGTTGCCCCTCAATAATACATGGATTGCTTGGTAACTGTTTTGAGGTGAACTTGCTCTAGAGTTGTCCTCAAAGAAAACCCAGGGGCAGAGCAGCAGAACCCAGGACACTGCGACCACAGCCGTCTCTGCATTGGGTGAGATGGACTCGAACTTGCAATGCCTATAGAGCTGAGCCCTGGTTGCTGGTCTTCCCTTTGCAGCCGCCTGCTCAGACTGTATACATAGCCTCTGTGTTTCAAGGTGGCACCCCTGCTTTCAGACCCCGTTTTCACTTCCACACAAGCAAACTTCCTTTACTAACTGCAAGTGAACCATGGAAAGAAGAAATCAGTGCTGGCCAAACATCCCCTGCAACTCAGCATTTCTGCCAAGTGTGCCTGTGAAAATGCTGAGAGCTGGATTTTGCTGGAGACAAAATGGAAAATCATGTTTTATATTCCAATATGATGAGCTCCCTGTGTCCCTCAGGCACACTGCAGTTCACCTCAGAGCAGTGGGCAGAGCTCCGTCTGGAGACACTCACTGTGCAAGTGTTGGAAGATCGTCATCTACTCACAGCTTTCCCCTCTAACCCTGACTCAAGCCACTCAGACACACGAGGGCAGAAGGCAGTACTGGCTGGCTGGCAGCTATGGTCAGGCAGGCAGCAATTCCAATCCTCTTACTACAACCTAGGGGGCAGGCAAGCACAGGCTATAATTTAGCAACCGGGGAATCTATTCAGTTGAGCTGGGTGCACTTGGCAGTGTGACACCCTTACCCGTGGGGACTAAGCACATACACCCTTTTCTGAATAATGCACCTAGCAATGTGTTAGCAACCTTGGCCCCCCAGCTGCATTGAGCTTCATATGTAAACACCCCGCTCCAAACAGTGGGATGTTTCTCCCCTCCTTAGCAAATGAAACCAGTGCCATCCGAGTCCAAGCCCACCCTTTGCTTCCTTTCTGCATCTTTGCCAGAAGGATGCAAGTGTATTCCCACTTAGGATGAGAGAATTCACCAAGATTAAAAATTTCAAGAACTGCATAAAACATTTGCCTCATCAAAATCTTACCCATGGGAAAGTCCCTTGATTAAAACAGTTAATAATTTGTTATTTAACTTCCATAATAGATTATAATTGCAAATGAAACTCATTTTTTTGCTAATCAGCACTGACTGGAAACTGTAGCTTTTCTGAGTAGGAACTCACCCGGATCCCAGCAGTTTATTAAACTAGAGTGGAGGGGTGAAATGCAACCCACAGAATCCGGCTCAGCAGAACAAACAAACAAGATTTTGTAAATACGGCACAATTAAAGAAAGAACAAAGACAGAATTCACACCCTGGGATTTCTGTGTTAATGGTTAATGCTAGCTTCACTGTGCTACAGTGTTCCTGTCTTCATGGATAAGCAAATTCCAAATTCCTGTTGGGCCAGAACGGTAAAATGTCTGTCTGTTTAGTAAGTTCTAGCAAGTTTTGATGCGTTGAAGCAAGGCGTGGAGACAATGGGTTTGAATTTCCAATTGAGCTGAGGCCCCAGATTTATAAATCAAGAGGGCAGAGTGGCTACCACTTCACTGAGCGTGGGGCACCGGACTGTATCTCTTCCTGCCTCATTCCCTCATCTGGAAGATGGGAGGCAGGAAGCAGCTACCAGATTGCACTGCTGGAGGACTCAGAGATAATTCCAGACATCTACCCAGCAGCCAACACATGACAGTAAAACCTCAACCCACTGATTTTCACTCTCTGCCAGCATCAATCTGCATGTAGATACCTCCTTGAATTGAACTTGCCCATGATATGAACCCCGGGAAATGCAAGGGGAGAGAGGTGAGACGAGAAGGGAGAGAGACAGGGACACACAGAAAACAAGACTAGGGACAGAAAGGGAAGAGTCACCAAGATGGCGACTACTGTCTGGGAAGCAGCAAGGGGCACTGGGACTCTGCCTTTCAGTGTGGTGTGTGTCTGTCCCCACCCTGCCACTGAGTGAGAGGACGGCTGGAAGGCCAGCTCTGCTCCTCACTGGTTTTCTAGATGAGTATCTGGCCCACGTCTCCCCTCCACAGTGAAGAGAGTTTTGGGCTATGCCGAACTCTGTCTATGCCACCCCACCCTCAGATGGCAACTGCCTCTGACAGGCCTCAAGACACACAATCTCATTTGCAACTCCCGGTGCAGAATACAATGGCAGTTCCTTACCAACTACGTGAAGGGCTCTGATGAAATAGGCGTTCATTTTCTACTTCCATTGGTCCTCTCATGTGCTCTACAACTTGCTTTGTGACAACTCTCTTACCATTCACTGTCTGGCTACAAGTAGTAACCAGTTTGAACTTTCCCATTCCATGGCTTACATATGGCACACACATCTCAGAAGCAGCAGTACCCAACCTCGGCCCCAGTGACACAAATGTAGAAAAGCCTGTGTCCATGATGGGGGTGACACTAAAGAAGGGGGAAGTTGTTCTTCTGGATTGAGCCATGGGATTAGTGAACCAACAGTCTCCTGAAAAGAGGTCTTCGTCTTCAGTGACCTTCGGGAAGGTGTGGCGTGGCCTCCGAAAGCCTATTTCTTCTCCCAAGTGGGTTTTGTCTCGGCCATCACCTCTGGTTTCCACTTTGTCTCGGCCATCACCTCTGGTTTCCCATATGGTACGGCCATCACCTCTGGTTTCCACTTTGTCTCGGCCGTCACCTCTGGTTTCCACTTTGTCTCGGCCGTCACCTCTGGTTTCCCATATGGTACGGCTATCACCTCTGGTTTCCACTTTGTCTCGGCCATCACCTCTGGTTTCCCATATGGTACGGCTATCACCTCTGGTTTCCACTTTGTCTCGGCCGTCACCTCTGGTTTCCCATATGGTACGGCCATCACCTCTGGTTTCCACTTTGTCTCGGCCGTCACCTCTGGTTTCCCATATGGTACGGCCATCACCTCTGGTTTCCACTTTGTCTCGGCCATCACCTCTGGTTTCCCATATGGTACGGCCATCACCTCTGGTTTCCATTGTGGTACGACCATCACCTCTGGTTTCCATTGTGGTACGGCCATCACCTCTGGTTTCCATTGTGGTACGGCCATCACCTCTGGTTTCCATTGTGGTACGGCCATCACCTCTGGTTTCCCATATGACACAGCCATCATCTCTGCTTTCCCCCGTGGTACAGACATCACCTCTGGTTTCCACTTTGTCTCTGCCATCATCTCTGATTTCGCATGTGGTACGGCTCCATCTGGACCTGTCATAGTCCTTGCGCTTCTTGGTATCAGATAAGACATGATAGGCTTCTGCTACTTTTTTGAATCGCTCCTCTGCTGCGTCCTTGTCTCCTGGGTTCTTGTCTGGGTGTACTTGCAGAGCCAACTGGTGGAAAGCCCTCTTGATATCAGAGGTAGAAGCATTTTGAGGCACCCCTAGTACTTGGTAATAATTCACCATGTTTCTTCAAACAGCCTTGCCCCACCAAGGGTTAAGATTTTGAGGAATTTCCATACAACTTCAGAAAGGAAGATGGTCAGTGATTCAAATTTAGAGTTTTGAATTTCTTCACATGGTTCTTAGGGTGAAGCCTCTTCTGGTGGAGAGATGCTTCTTCAGTGTGTGGGTCCTTCACATGCCACCACGCCCTGCCTCTGCTGCTCACTGAGGGGGGGTGACTATGAGGTCATCACTTTAAGCTAGTGACTCTCAGCTGATGCTGTGCCTGCCTTGTTCTCATAGTGGTGGGAAACCTGAGATGGTCACAACAAAAACTGCAGACACCTTATCTTATTCAAATAAATAAGCACGGCATGTCTTGTTAACAAAGAGAAAAAGTATTCACCTTGTTTATAGCAGCCACAAGCCAGCAGACCCAACATCCACTGTGGGTCACTGTGGGGGCAAATGCTTTTAGTGCCCTCCTGGGTGTCACCATGACTTGTCTTGTGATTTCTAAATTGCTTTATTTTACTGTGTTATGTGTTTTGCTTGCATATGGATTTGTGCATCCCTTGCACACAGTGTCTACAGAGGCCAGAAGAGGGTGTCAGGTCACCTGGAACCCGAGTACACACAGTTGTGAGCCAAAATGTGGGTTCTGGGAATTGAACCTGGGTCCTCTGAAAGAGCAGCCAGTGTTCTTAACGGCTGAGACAGACTTTCAGCCCCCACCCTTTGTTATTTAATGTCCCCACTGCCACAATGGGGGGGTAATGGTTTGGGGGTTGCTATAATTCTTAAGATCATATATATACTTTTCTGATAAAAGAAAAATAAAATTCATTCATCCAGCAAGGAAACTGAGTCAGAGGCCAATCTAAGCAGGGATTTTAATGACACATGGAGGGAATCGAATAAGAAGTTGACCCCTCATTCAGTGTGCACTCCAGATGATCTGTTAATGTGAACCTTTCAGAACGTTATCTCTGTATTTAAAAACTAAACTAAGTAGCAGAATCAAAACTACAAATACTATCTAGAAGAAATAGCACTGGGGCTCCAGTGTAGCAGGGGAGTTGGCCACCTGTCTTGATCCCGTTCTTGTTGCTATGGCAAAATGTCCTCATAAAAGTGACTTAGAGAAGAAAGGGTTTATTCTCTCCCACTGTTGGGCGACTTAAGGGAGAAAGGGTTTATTCTCTCCCACTGTTGGGTGAGTCGAGGCAGCAGAACTTGAAGCAGTGATCACATGGCACCCATGTTGTCAGGAAGAAGACAGCAGAGACAACACGCTGCTGCTGCTCGGCTCCCTTGCGCCGCATACACACAGTCCACCTTCAGTGGACAGTTTCCCTCACCTCAGTCAATGCAAACAAGATCAACCCCACAAGGGCACCCTGAGACTTATCTCCCAGGTGACTCTAGGCTCTGTCAAGTTGACAACGGACAGTGAACATCCCACTACCCATTTCTTAGGACACACAACTTCACATTTCCCAGACGTCTCTGTAACTCGGCATGGTGTGCGACTGACTGATGGCCTGAGATGGGAAGGGTGGAGGTGACCTCTTTTCAGGCAGACCATGAAACCACGTTTGCCCCACCCCTTGCTCTTCCTCCTTCCATTGACTGGGGCCAGTGACCAGGGCATCTGGAAGCTTCCACGGGGAATGGCAGAGGCTCCATCCCTGGACTTTCGAGATATAGTGAAGCCAATCACCTCCACTAACCACATCAGACTGTTACTGTAAGGAAGAAATAGCTGTGCCACTGCCATGTTTTCACGTTTGTGACAGTAATCTACTTATATTTAGAACCCGTTCCTGAAATGCTATCAGCTGGACAAGTCCGACTTGTGTAGCCCTAAACACCAACTAGATGCTCCCCGTCTGCCTTCCCTCTGGACTCCGATAGGTCAACCTTTCACTTCAATGCCATGTTCTGCACTGGTTAGTCCCTTTCACGTCCTCTGTGTGAGGCCGGTGGCTGACAGGGGGAGCCATTCTTTCACTAATCATCTAAAGTAGCGCTCGGAGACTAATAGCCTTCTTGTGCCCATGCCGCAAGCACCCAAGCCAGGAGGAGCCGGTAATTCTGCATCTGTAACCCCAGACCCTCGGACTACAGAACAAAATCATGAAGATGACACACTGCACAATCTCAGCTGGGCTGGTACAATACAGAGACAGAATTCTGTTTTAATCGTCTCCTCTCCACGCTCCTTGTGGTCGTTCTCAACTGCCATTGCTGCTCTCTAGTTTCTGATTAAACCTCAGCCCCTTCCCTTTCACTCTAAACAGAACTTGTTTCCTATTAATCAAAGAAAGAAACCATCAAGAAGCTCCTAAATGTCCCCCACAGACAGAGTGCACTGGGTCCTCCAAGGAAATGAGCCAAATGTGGGTTGATCAGTTATGTCTGAACTATAAAACTTGGGGTGTTAATTCAGAAGTCTGGAGACTTGAAAACGGTTGAGGTGGGGGGGGGCGGTGGTTGATGAAGCAAGTCCTACTTAGCACCTGAAGGCCTGAGAACTAAGAGCTGCAATGTTTGCTGGCAGAAGACAGACACCTCAGGCCACACAGGGTAAAGACATCCTCCAGGTGCTGGTTTCCTTTCCACTGCTGAGGTAAAACGTGATGACTAAAAGCCACTTAGAACAGGTAAGTCTATGTGTTCACACTTCCAGGCAGGGTCCGCCACTGGAGACGTCAGTGCTGGAACCCAGGACCCAGGTAGTAGAACTTGAAGCAGAAACGGTGAAGGAAGGCTGCTTGCGGACTCAGCTGTTTTCCTTGGATAGCTCAAGACTATCTGTGCAGAGAGTGAGAGTGCCCACATGGGTGGGGGCCTCCTAAAATAATTATGGATCAAGACAGCCCTTCACAGACATGGCCACAGACCAACCTGATACAGACAATTACTCAGCTGACTCCAGTTATGTAAAGTTGACAGTTAAGGTTGACTAGGATACTGTCTACCTTAGTGTTCTACTAGGATCATCTTTAGCTTAGATGGTGCCCACCCACACGGGGTGAGATGACACTTCTTTAGTGTACTGATTCACGTTTTAAGCTCTCCCATGAACACTCTTGTAGAAACACACACACCATAATGCTGTTCTAGCTATCTGAGCATCCCTTAGTTTGATCACATAAAATTAATCCTCCCCAACATCTCCTGAACAGTTTAAAACAGCCCTGATCATTCTTTCATACTCTTAAAATAAAATATTTGAAAATTTTACTAACCAACTGACCCATCATATATCATGATTAAGATTACATTAGAAATTTTTACTGTATTAAAATCAATATTATAGGCTGATGAGATGACTCAGCAGGTAAAGGTAGTTTCCCCCAAACCTTGGCAAAGGTGGGTGGAGAAAACTGACTCCCCAGTGTTATCATTTATATTCTAGAATATTTTAAGCATTTCAGTGTTCCTCCAACTGGTAAGAATTATCAAGCACCAGAGTACCTTGAATATTTTCTGTGCTGATATTACAAAATGCTAAGTAAATGAAGTTTCTTCTAAGATACGAGGTTTTAACTGGCTTAATTCAGAGCTGAATTTGCCATCAACCTAAAGCAGCTCACATTTCACTTGAACAGTTCTGTACTCATAATTTTCTGACACATTTCAAAGCAGGGTTCCCAAGTTGGAGACACCTGATATTCCACAAAAGCTGGGCTTGTCCCCAGTCTGATGAGAGTCACGCATCTACAGACACTGCAGTTGCATGACTTTGGACACTGAGCTCATGGCTGTTCACATAGGCTTGGTTACCCTTGGTACCCACTTGGGTACCCTTTTTCGAGGTGGGTAGTATAACTGACAGTGTGCAGCAACACAAAGTTCTGTTTACCTTTATTAAGATGGCACTCTCAAAAATTTGACCCATGCTAGCAGCAATGATCTGGCTGAAAAGAAAGTCCAGTCTTCAGGTTTCAAATTATGAGTTAACCAGATGGGTTTTTCCGATAAGAGGCTGCTTTTGTGGCTAAGGGAAAGGTAACAGAGGAAAGCTAATTTGCCCTTTTGGGTTGCATGTTATTTTGTCATGATATTCCAGGGGGAAAGTGATCTCAGAGATACACAGTGTTCCAGAAATAAAATCACTGATGTCACTCTCTTACTCATAAGAATGGAACACTGCACGGTCTGGACCATATGACAGGGACTGAACACCAACCATCTTGCATCTTCTCCTTACACACTGTGAGTACATGTGAGTCAGAAAGGTAGACCCGAGAAGCAAAGTAACCCAACAGCACTTGGAAGGGCTATCTTTGTGACCTGTGATTAGATCCAGTTTGAGTGGAGAAGTGCCACAGACAATGTCACTGTCAAGACAGATGACATTGCTTAAACCAGAAAGTGTTACTTATTTAGCCTCTGAGTTTGACAAAGCGAATCCCATTACCATGTTCTGAGGCCGGTGGAGGTATTTTTGCTGAGAGTAGTCACAACAGTCTCTCAGAAGCTCTTAAGAAAGTAAAATTCTTGACATACTTTGATCTTAAAAACCATGCAACTCGGGTAGGTAAGCATCAATTATTTTTTAATCACTCACTTAAAAAATCACTAAGCCAAAAGTGTCTTTTTCATCTTGTTTTATGCCATAGGAAGTCTCGTTCAGGAGGACCTGTCTTAAGATGGCACACCTTGGGCTCAAGGTAGGAGCTAAGGCAATATTCTCCTGCTGAACTTAACATCCTATATAGAATCTGAGTCCTATCAGAGCAAACGTCCCAGGGTCACCCAGTGAGCATGAAAAAATCAGGAGGAAGTAAACCAGGGGTCATGACCCCCACTCTTGCCGCTTCCCTTTAAGACACTTGAGAAACAGGCACTTGGTCTGTGGAGAGATGGTGCTGGTGTTGGGTCATCCCTGCCTTCTCTCTCACTTTCACTAACAATGGATCCCTTGTGCATCCATGTTCATGAGTCCAGTTGAAATTCCCAGATGTTGGAGAGCAGCAGTCTCATGACAGAAGTCACAAGTTGGCTCCGGGGAGAACAACATCCTTAGTCACACAGAATGCAGCCTGAACCCATACTCGGCCATGATGGCAGGGTGGGCGGTGGCTTAGATTCCTTGTCATGTTTATGATGTGTTATCAGAGAACCTGAGAGAAATTCCTGAACTACAGGGAAACTTCAAGTTCTGAGGGCTAATCACCCTTGCGCTAAAGCCTTCTGTGGGGTAGAGCGGAGTACAGTACACTGCTTCAATTCTAGAAGGGCACTGATGCCATCATGGGGTTCCACTCTTAGGGTCTCGTCTAAGTCTAGTTACCTCGCAATGGCCTGGACTCCTGGCATCATCACAGACACTATTATGTTTTCACTGTAGGTGTTACGGGGAACTCAAACATCCGGGCTGTAGGCACGAGCCCTAAAACAGTGGCCTCCCCGAGTCACCGGCGATGTGCAGCCCATGTGCACCTGTTCTTTTCAAGGGTGGTTAGTGGTTGTCTTTACACAGCTCCTGCAGCTTTGTTACGGATTTTTGGCTGCCGTAATCTAACAAGGTACCTGTGAAAGACATAGCTGTAGGCTGGAGATGACCTTCAGGGTATAACTAGTGAATGCTGACTTGGGGGTAATTGCCAGGGAGACCCAGGCGGTTAAATGTGGGTGGAAGGTGCAGGTCAATGTACTAGAGAACTTGCCTCAGTGCGCATGAATACACCATAGCATGCCACGGCATACCATTCTGGCCTACTCAGCCACACCCGGTGAGTCCTTCAATGGGAATGAAAATGTCAGAGCAGCAGAAAGAAGTGAGTCACCCCCAGAGACTAACTCAAGGGCCTCTCCTTACCCACTGAGCTACTCTCGAATGAATGAAGGAGCTTGGATTTCAGGACTCGTTCAGTCTTCTGGGAATTCGTTTATGAAGATACAGTGATGTTGTGAGGGATTTCTCTCAATGAAATGCTCCAATTTACATCTCAGTGTCCCCGGTGCCGGAATGAGGTCACTTTGGGGGGAAAATGCCCCTGCCTAGCTTTGTTCTGTGATGGCCAATCTCATTTGCAAAACTGTGTACAGAATCTGTAAGGCTCAGAGAGCATGCTGTCTCCTCTCCTGGGGTATCTGGCAGGAGTCTGAGCAAAATTACAACCTGGAAAGGCTTCTGGGCGTCTGGGAACCTGGCCAGGGGACCTTTCATCTAAGCCATTTTTTTGTGAACCTTTTACAATATTACTTAAATTTAATTTTACAAGAGAGCTACTCAATTTCAATGACACGAATGGACATCATAGCATTAAAAAACAAAATAAAACATGCTCTAGATGATTAGTGTCTACTTTCCAACCCAAGCTGTTATTTTCCACTAGAATTTTAATATAAAAATTTTCAGACATGAGAAAAATAACGTTTTGTGAATACCTGTATCCTACCTCTTAAATTCTACAATAAAATTTTTCTAAACTCGCCCCCCCCCAAATCTTCAGTTTTATGTCACTGCTCAGCATTCTTGCACAAGCCATTATATGCAGAGACTAGAACAGACACCTATAGTTCACAGCCTGACCAGGGTGTGGTGATATATATTCTTCTAGTGTTAACTCTAGTGGTTTGGATGAGACTGTCTCCCATGGGCTCAGGTATTTAAACACTAAGTCACTGGCTTGTGGTGCTGTTTGTGGAGGGTTAGGAGATGTGGCCTTGCTGGAGGAAGTGTAACACTGTGGGCAGGCTTTGCAAGCTTACAGTGTCTTCCTACTCCCTTTTTTCCATCTCTGATTTTGTGTGTGTTTCAAGATGTGAGCTATCAGCTTCCTGTTCCTGCCACCAAGTCTGTCACATGCTACCATGCTTATTCACCACGATGGGCTCTTATCCCTTTGGAACCATAACCCAAATAAATTCTTTCTTCTATAAGTTGTCTTGATCATTGTGTTTTATTACAGCAACATAAAAGTAACCAACAGCAGGGCGTTGGTGGCACACGCCTTTAACCCCAACACAAAGAGGCTCAGAAAGAGTGACTTGCCCAAAGCCATTTGATGAGAACTGGATGACTGAAAAGAAGGACAAGAGAACATAGGGACACCAAAAACGGCTGACATAAGACACCAGCATTGGAAGCCGGGCGTTGGTGGTGCACGCCTTTAATCCCAGCACTCGGGAGGCAGAGGCAGGTGGATCTCTGTGAGTTCGAGGCCAGCCTGGTCTCCAGAGAGAGTGCCAGGATAGGCTCCAAACTACACAGAGAAACCCTGTCTCAAAAAACAAAAAAAGAGTAACCAACTCACTCTTAATACACCCCCCTCCCACACACACGCATGTGCACACACTGTTTAAAATTCTAGCCTTTATCAACACACAGAGTGTGGGTATCACCAGAAGGTTCCCTCACATCCCTTCATAAATTGTTCCCCACCTCCACCTGTTCACACCCAAGCACTGATTTTTAAAATTTGACTACTGATCTGTTTTAGCAGTCTGAAAATCTAACATGGACTCATTCGACATGAACTTTGTTGGGAAATGCTTCTCTCGTTAAGCATAATGTTATTGAGACATATGTATCAGGAATTCATTTGTTTTCATTACTGGGTGGTAATCCACTATGTCTGCATCTCAGTTTATATATTCATTCTGTATTCAACTGTAAACCCAGGCTTCCACCTTTCGCTAACTATGGAAAAAGCGGCTAGCAACAATTTTATACAAATCTTCTTACAGACATGCTTTCCTTTTCCTTTGGTCCATACTGAGGAGTGGAATTGCTGTATCTCGGTCGATGCGAATATTCTACACTCTCGACAGCAGTGTAAGAGAGCCCTGTTTTGCTACCCATGCACGTCTGTCACCAGCTCTCTTTTTAAGTTTAATTTTTTTAGTGGGTGTAAAGTCACTTAAGCCTCTATTCTGGCAAATTTTCCAAACTAGCAAAAAATGGCATGTGTAAAGTTTGAAGGAAATATTGCTTGAAGAGACAGGCAGAGGTGGCATTTAAGAGGTTACTTTACCTGAATTTGGGCTGTACTAATAAGCTCTGTTGAAGGCATGTAGACTGGATAGCCAGACACACTCTTCAGTTTCTAATTCTCTCAACTAGATTATGAAACAATGAAGTTAATGCCGAGAAAACTGCAGCCTGTTGCAGGAGGGATAGGAGCTTTGTGTTCTAATGGGGTGGATGGACCACAAGTTCCCCCCATCTGCCTCTAGGACGGCCCTTCCTTTAATAAATTGTCCAGGGAAGAGACACCTACCAGCTCTTCCCTGTCTCTAAAGTCAACCCTGGGCCCAAGAGAAAGAAATTAAAATTTTTCACACCAACACTGCGCCAAAGGGTTGTAATTTGTATATTTTTCCTTTAAATTGTCAGAGCAACATTTCCGTCAATCAGGTATGGACAATCCTGTTAAAGATGCAAAACAAAGACTCAAAGAACTCCAGTAACTTGCTCCCAGATGTTAAACACACACACACACACACACACACACACACACACACTGTCTCTCTCTCTCACACACACACACACTGTCTCTGTCTCTCTCTCACACACACACTGTCTCTGTCACTGTCTCTCTCTCTCACACACACACACTATCTCTGTCTCTCTCTCTCTCTCACACACACACACTCACACACGCTCTCTCTGAATCTCTGTCTTTGTCTCTCTGTCTCTGTCTCTCTCACACACACACTGTCTCTGTCTCTCTCTCACACACACACTTCTCTGTCTCTGTTTCTGTCTCTCTCTCACACACACTGTCTCTGTCTCTCTCTCTCCCACACACACACTGTCTCTGTCTCTCTCTTTCTCTCACACATACACTGTCTCTGTCTCTCTCTGTCTCTCTCTTTCTCACACACACACACTGTCTCTGTCTCTCTCTCTCTTTCACATACACACACTCACCAGGGAGCACAGAGTAGCAAAGATCCAGTTTGAACAAAACAGAAAAGGAAGCATTTTCTGGAGGGTAGAACCAAAGGCCAAGAAGAGTAATGAACTGCAGAGTCCCCTCTCAGCTCATCGGAGGAAAAGTCCTCTCCCACTACACACACTGTGTCTGTCTCTGTCTCTCTCTCTCTCTCTCACACACACACACACTCTCTCTCTCTCTCTCTCTCTCTCTCTCTCTCACACACACACAC